ACAAACCAATTTCTCGGGAGGTGAAGATGTTGACGAACATAGGCAAAGCTGACGACGATCTACAGTGAGCACTTTCGTCACGGGTAGTGACGTTGTACAAGCAAAGATTGAATACACCAAACAGTGGTGATATTTACCGTAACCACATTAACGATTCCTGCCGTCTTCTGTCATTCATGCGTATCGACCAGGATAGCAGTCGCGCTTGCACAGGAACTGCACCAGTCCGAAGTTTGCAAGCTGCCCACTTATCTAATTTCCCGTCCCATATTATACCGTAAAGAGCTGCAAATGAAGACCGATGCTATTTCATTAGTCCGCTCCATATTCGGTGCAGTGCCGCAATGCGCGTAGTAAGACGGCCACCTAAGCAACACGTGACGCCTTTTAGCGGTCCGGATGATGTCCGTTTTGGTTTAATGATTGTTTCTAGTACTATTGAACGCCGCACCACTAGCAATTAGCGCGCGACTCAATATGTGCAGCATACAATGGTGCAAATTAAGCACTAAATGGATCGCAGTCGAACGCACTGCCCTCTGAAATGCTTCACAATAAGCAACAAAGGTTAAATTTTGCTTTCCAAAGTGGGTCAGTAACTTGCATCCGATGCGTTGTCTAGGCGTATCTCACAGTGCCTGTGCTCACGCGGCGTTAGGTAAACCACATCCCTACACATTTTTGACATCTTCGCAAAAATGCTTAACCAAACGGTCAACAAAGTGACTCTTCCTTTTCTGAGACAGTAGTCCCCTTTATGATTACAACTACATAGCATTCCCATCCCTGAACTGGCGACCAAACAGTATGTAATCACACATGACCTCTCCTCATTCGCGGCAATGTATCTCGGATTGCCAAGAATCATCCGGATGCCACCGGTTGTCTTTGGTAACGCCTAGCGTAGACGCTTACGAGAAATCTCTGCGAAAGCAGTTAGGCTGAACATTATCGTTTAAATTTGAATGTCGGAACAATAACCCCACGATGCATAACACTGACAAGCTCAGTTCAAATTAGATGCATTTAGGTCAATAAAATGGGAGAGGTTTACTTACCTGTACAATGTAAATCATCTACAATCCTCTACAAGGTAAATCCTCTTCAAGCGATCTAGCATGTGATGGCGGTTCTGAGATGTCAAATATGCTCGCGCATCTGACAAACTTCGCTCCAGGAAACGTATTGCCCCTTAAGTGTTGCCAAGTAATCCTTTCAGGATCACCATTACTTATTCGAAATATCTCTGTCATGTTATCTGTTATCCTTGGGCTAGAGGCACGCCAACCTACCCTGTATCCTTCCGATTTCCAGTATTTGTACAGTGGGCTTGAATACAAAAGACGGTGCACTCAAGCTTTGAACCCCGTCCACATTGCTTACAGAAGGGGACGCAGGCCACTAGGCTTTACTGAGGCTAGCCGTATCCCTTAAGAAATAACAAAAAGTTGTTAGTCAAAGTAGCGATTAAAAAATTCGGACAATTCATCACGTTTGTTAATGTTGCTGTGAGCTTCTATAAGCTTAACGTTAATTCAGTATATATGTGCAAAGTTTCTTATTAATTTCGTCGCCAAATATGTTAGACCTATTGTACACTACCTGAAGAAATCTATTCTGTAATGGAAAGTTAGCAAAGCAGCGGAAACAACTTATCGAATAGCATGATAAAGGCAAAATAGCCTTTGTAAATATCTTAGGTGATTGCGAATACCGCCATAATTTATATATGCTGAAAATAGCCTATTTGTCTCGCTTGCAAATACAGCGATTAAAAGAAAGAAAAGCAAAGGTGGTTTAGCATTCCAACTTCCAGTTGGGGCTGCGTATCTAAAACGGTGCAATATAGGTAGGATATATGGATAATTGTTTGGTGAGATGTAGTTGGTCGAAAATCAGAGTTTCTAGGCGTACGTAATAAGGTAGAGTAAGTAATGTAACATAGTCTTGCTGAAACGCTCGCGAGCCACTAAGGAAAGTTGTAATCATATGATAGATTTCGATTCGTTGTAATTAGTCTGCGGTCAACAGACCTCGTGGCATCGTTTCTTGGGGATACTGAACAACGCGGACCATTATATGGCTTAAAACCGCGAGATATTATACCCCTAGAAGGAAGCACAGATTACTCCCGAGGAAAAGAAAACTACTTAAAATGAATTATATCAATATTTTTAAGATATACATTGAAAGATTCATGGGTTTTTGCACATGTTATGTAACTGCATATATATGCTGCCCTCTGCTGATGAACATGGAGTTCTATCGCTAAGAATAAGCAAACGAGGATCGAGCAACTTGCAAAAATGCTCCGCAGTGTGTTTTTTTGCGTCTTCCGGATGTAGTGCCTTAACGACCGTCGCCGTGAAGATTAGAGTTTTTTGAAAGCGAAAGGATGTTGTGCATTGTAGGTTGGAGGACAGTCGCTCTGGCTAGTGAGACGTAGCCGGCTACGGCAACGTGCACTCAGTAGCAACCACATACGCAAAGTTATTTGTAGAAATTTTAGTTCATTCGTATTTGACGCATTCGTTAATTCTATGGCCAGTTTACATGTTCTCAAAAATTTTCGGCTGTCATTGATATTCGGGTGTGGTTGGGCTGTTCTCATGTGCCGGTATCCTATTAAATCAAGCCGTTACTTTATTTCCTTGGCACAGAAAAGTGCCCTATTGTCGGTCATAATAAGGTGTGCTACTCTTTCCCTGCTAAAACACCAATTTAACGTTTTTGTGGTAGACTCAGCAGTCAGGGTTATGGTCCAAAATACTCGAGGCAACAACGAATGCGAGGTAGTTCGTAAAGTAACTTTCAAGGTCGACAAAACTCAGACCAAGGCGTCTAACCGCTTGGTTTCCAGAGGTTTCTGTACGGGTCACGAAAACCCAAATTTGCCACTTGGCTTACTCCAAATTAATTTCGTGGAAACAATGCAATTGCCTGGTCAGGGATTTCAGGTTGTCGACACTCGAAATAAAGTAGTGTAAATCCTTCAAAACTATGTTTAATATTTTTGGCGAAATTATGGTTTGGTCACAAGTACACAAGACAACATTTGTTTGAATCGAAAGTGCTTTATTACATGGTTAGAACCTTGGAAGCAGTCTTTTAGATTTGATAGACCCCCTTTTTACATAGCGCATATCACAGATTGATAATATGGGGGAGAAGTGAAGCAGAGCACTACTTGACAAAGGAAGCTGTTGTGTAAATAGACACATGTCTGAAGCCATAGAGAACATGGCGTGTCTCGATAAAAATGACCTTGCAATATTTTTTCGGGTCTGTATTGATGTTAAAATCACACGCTGCTAATATCAGGGTCAATACTGGGTTTGGTTATATAGTGTTAAGCATGATGGCCTGTGTTTGAATTGAGGGGACGCCTCTGTTATGATTGCGTCGATGACTGAGAAGATTATCACTGGCACGGTTGGAGCGCGCTTACGGTAACCGCTTCGAAGGTTGGCAAATTGAGCGGATTTGCGCTGAGCCCGAGGTACGCGCTGGTGAGACGGAAATTGAGCGTGATAACTATCCTAGCCGCACTTATTCAGGCAGGCGCTGAGCCCTCGGAACGGACGCACACGAGAGGGAGTTACGGTAGACGCGTGCTAGTGACTTAGACGCGAGTGCTGCCCCGCTATCAACGCACACAAAATCGCGTGACCGTACGACTCCCAACTGAGGCGAAGAGGAAGATAGACAAGTGGTCCACTGAAGGCTCTTTTACGACCAACAAAAGGCAAATCACAGCCCATGCTGTGGGTCATTAAGTTAAGGAAAATAGCTACCTCGAATAGGTGGTAGTTTACAAAAGACCATTGTCAAAAGTTGCGCAGTTGGGTCGCGTCCTGGAGTGGCTGAACGCTGCTGTGTGTTGGGAGGAATTAGACCACCATTTTCACAGCCATTATTCCAGATTTTCTGGCGCATTTTGGCGGGGGTATTTGACGGGCCCGCTACAGTCTGTAGGGATTGTAAACTGTAAAACAAATAGTTGCCTATGAAGTTTTTTGACAGCCAGGTATACTGCCAAAGCCTCTTTCTGAGTCTAAAATTACCCGTTTAAACACGTTGAGAACTCGGGATATACGTATGAAAGGAAACGAATTCTGTTTAAACTTTGCTCCTATGCTAACTTCACCCAGTGTGTTTCTCTACACCCGCTTGTGTTCCGTTAGAGACGCCTGAGAATTCGGCGACAGACCATCAGGGCTGGAGAAAAGTGCCAATGGGTTCTGTGGTGAACCGTGAGTCGCCGGAATTTCAACACCTTTACCCCAGCCTGTTGCAACAAGTGGACTAAGTCCGGACCGCTGGTCCCGACGGAAGCGGTACGGAGCACGCTTACAATCAATAGAACGTTTTGGTGCACGCGTTTGGCCAGGTCTACACCGAGAGCAGTTTTGCACATTAGCCCTGTGTGTCACGAGGGTGATTTGTTCCATCGCGGGGACATGATCTTGCTTGGCTTCTGTCATCTGTTCAGTATTCTGGAGAAATAGTAGTATTTGTTTTCTCCGAATAGCCACTCAATCTGATTAGCAATGCGTGGAACTAAGACGGAATCGCACAGGACCGAATAGTCGAAACCCGAAGGGACTGGTCTGGGACAGTTCGCCGCGAAATTCACCACAAACAAAGGCGGCAGAAACGCACATCAAACCGCTAGCCACAAAGGCGGCGCGCAAGAGTGCACCCGCTACGGGCGGAGTCAAGAAACCCCATCGGTACAGGCCAGGAACCGTCGCCCTCCGGGAGATCCGAGGTTACCAGAAAAGCACAGAGCTCCTAATCCGCAAGCTTCCATTCCAGCGTTTGGTCCGCGAGATCGCCCAAGATTTCAAGACCGACCTCCGTTTCCAAAGTTCAGCTGTGTCCGCTCTGCAGGAGGCCAGCGAGGCTTACCTGGTCGGTCTGTTCGAGGACACCAACCAATGGGTTGCTTCCGTGGAGCCTTACCGCCAGTACTCTTGCGAAGCGGAGACCGCAGAACTCTACTTGGTGCTGGTGTATTTGGTCACGGCCTTCGTCCCCTCCGATACGGCATGCTTGGCCAATTCACCGGGAAGGAGAAGACGCACGGCAGTTTGCACTTCTCTGCTCGTGATCGTTGTGCGCTTGTTGTAGTGAGCAAGACGACTGGACTCAGAGGCGATGCGTTCGAAGATGTCGTTGACGAACGAGTTCATGATGGACATGGCCTTGGAGGAGATACCAGTGTCGGGGTGGACCTGGCGGAGTACCTTGTAGATGTAGATAGCATAGGACTCCTTCCTCCTTCGCCTCTTCTTCTTGTCGACCTTGGGAACCTTCACCTTCGACGCCTTCTTAGCCGCCTTGCCGGAGACAACTTTCGGAGCCATGGCGTAGAGAAACACACTGTTGTTTGTAAAATTATTACATGATCTTTGTAAATGCAAACCCTATCCGGTCCACGAATGACTTCATCTGTGGCTAATTGAAAAATGCCTGATTATACATGCAATTCAAATGGAACATAATTGTAATGCTACCATTCCAATGGATTATTAATATTCGTAAATTTTTGAGGTTATTTGGCTAGTGGGATTTGTTGGTAAGCAATGACCAAATCTATTTTCGTAAAAATTATTTGCCGCCCAAGGACTTAACAACTACTGAAGTTCCACATTCCTTGCGCTAAATGGACACTGTCTGGGGTTTAGATTGTGTCTGTGTGCACAGAGCATACAGGAATAAATCTCTTAAGCGAAGTCAATATCTCTCTCAAAGGTATCCATCAAGTTATCAAGTTAATCAGGCCATTATCCAAGTTGAGATCTGATGGCATTTCACCAAGCAGCATTAAACTAGGAGGATCTGATTTACCACTGCACCTAGTGAGCTTGTGTACTCCACCGCTGGAATCAAGACAAATTGTAGCTCAACAGAGAACGTCACTTATTATGCCTAAGTACCAAGGAGGTCACAAACAAACAATCGCTATCCACCGACCCGTGCAACGCACTGCAATAATCGCTCGGCCATTGGCAAAGCTTTTCACGAAGGAGGTATTGAACGCTATTGATTATGAACCATGAACAAGGATTAGTCACGTGTTGAAAGCAGGTGCTTGACACATCCCGTAGGATGGTTGAGGAGAATAAGATGAAATCAAAATATATGTGGGTTATCTACTAAACCTCTTCCGAGATGAATAATTTGACAAATAACATAGTATAAATTAAAATAATCAAACGATAAGGTTCAGAATTACACTTGGGTGCAGTGGTTGTTAATATAAAGTGTGAGAAAAGTAAAATGTGTTCGCGCAGTTGGGTGCAGTTGATACATTAATCCTGTAGATAAATTTGCCTGGTGTAATTCACAATAGAGCAGTTTAGGTAACGAATTGCTGCGATTTAAGAGCAACATCAAATCCTTTGTTGGAAACGTCCACAGTAGGAGAGTCTAAGTGTGGGAGTGCGTTCCAGGGTTGACAAACGCGAAGGGAAAAGTCTTTATGTAGACACTCTACACAGTTATATTTCTCTTTTAATCGTAAACCCTTACCGCTGAGCTGCGTGTGGTGGCTAATTTTCGGCAAGTGGTGGCATAAGTGGTGGGGGTTATTCAATATCTGATAGCCTACTATGAGTTCGCCGCGCAGCCTTCGATGCGTCTTCTGAAAATTCCCAGCAACTGCAGCTTTCGGTAGTAAGAGTGATATCACAGGCCCTTTAAATGCGGTGCCACTAACACATTTATGTCACGCATTAACCAAGGCTGTCAAGTTTGGATGGCATATTCAACATACGGGCGCTCATAAGGACTGTGCATAGTGGGGAATAACGATAGGTCGAATCTCCCGAATGCCCTTCGCAGCATGTCCTCGTGCTGGTTGGGAAGTGTTCGTCCCTCGCCTGAATGGACTCTTGATTCCCAATCAAAAACGAAGTCGCTGCCCCCCACAGGACAGAGAAAAGATCGGATGGGACGAGCAGAGTAACAGGAATGAAATAGCGAATCACACCGTTCAATATAAAGGTAAAATGGAAAGTTCGTGAATAGTATTTAAAGCGACCGTGGAAAGCTCTGGAACGGTTAACATACAGCTAATAAAGTAAATTCTACTTAGCGTTCATTTGCCGCCTATCCTGGTTGGCTCCTTTCCCCCCAATCAGGGCGGATGAGTTTGGATCGCCGGCCGCGGCGATGGGGTCCTGGCATGTTCCACTCGCATATTCCTTCCTACGACCTCCCCCCTTTGAGTTGTGTTTTGCGATTTCAGCTTTGGGGTCTACTTGCATGGATGACACGAAGTTGCCTCGCCGCTTCGGCGTCTGTGCTGCTATGTTTCGGGGCGAATATTTTGCTTTCTGTGTTGGGGTGTCTTGGCTTCACCCGCGTCGGCCAGTATGTCCAGAGGTAACTGCGCTGCTGGTACTTGTTGTCGCAGTTGTTCGCTAGTCCGTGCTTTTGGCAGCTGATGGGCATGTCTTCCTCAAATTGCCGTCCCAACCTGGATACCGTAGATTAAGTTACCACGTTTGTATAGCACATAGCTCATAGCCCATTTAGAATAGTTGATGTGATAACCTCTCGCCAGAACTTATTGACCAACATTAAAGGTTCGCTTCCGCGCACCGTGTCGGGTGTTGAATTGACGCTGCATCTGATTGTAGCGGGACAGTAATTGATCCTACCTCGGTCTGAGGGCATCATGCGGCGCACTGATTTTCCTTTGGAACAAAGTCTCAACCGGAGATATGACTTTCGGTGTCTGCATATTCGAAGTTGTGCGATACGTCAGAAGAAATGCGTCAAGCGTCTCCTCCAAGGTACCTACTCCCTTCATCTTTAGCGAAGCTCATTTGGGTGTATCCACAAAGCGTTCCGCTTGCCCGTTCGATTGTGGGTAGTGAGGTGGAATCCTTACATGGACGATCGAGTTTCTACGACAGAGGACGACAAATTCAGATGAAGTACATTTTGTTTTGTTGTCCGAAACCAACGCGTGGAGAATACCGAAACAAGAAAAAATCTGTCGGAGAGCGGAGACAATAGCTGTTGCTGTGGTTCTCACCATTTAAATCACCTCCGGCCATTTATCGTGAGCATCGACAACCATGAGAAAATGATGACCGTCAATTGGACCTGCAAACTCGACGTGGACCCTTGACATTGTTTCCTTTGGTATTCGCCAGGATTGTAATTCCGTCTTCCTTGGTTGTTTAGATACACCGGCACATCGGGGACAATTCTTCATTAACTTTTCGATCTGGGAATCCATATAGGGCCAATACACATAGCCATGTACCAGCGATTTCATGCCATACATTCCTGGGTAGCCAGTATGAAATTGTCGGAGGACTATCTGTTGGATGATGTATGGAATGACGACGCTATCTGAGTACTGCAGGCAATTTCTGACGAATAATAGTGTTTGATTCCGTTGATGGAATTGTTGAAGCTCCGGCCTTGTAACTCTCTTAGGCCAGCCATTGAGTTGGAAATCGATCCATTTTTCTGGGGTAGAAGCACGATGGGTCGCTTCATGCACCATTTCGAACCGAAAATGTCAGGCACAACTTAATGTACTTGAGGTTCTACGGAGATTTGTGTAACTACCAAATCCGCTGGTTCTTGATACTGTGTAGCAATTATATGAGATAACGCATCTGCTTGACCAATGTTGTGTGTAAATTGATATTTGACGACGAAATCATAACCAAGTAGTACAGTTGCCTAGCGATGAAGACGACTGGCCGTACAGACTGGAATGCCTTTGATTCAAAGACTGCGACTAAGGGTTTGTGTTCAGTGAACAGCGTGAACTTTCGTCCTTAGAGCGTTGTGTAAAATCGCTTGACCGCAAACACTATAGCCAAAGCTTCTTTATCGATCCCTCCGGGTCAAATATTTACGAGTTCTGTTCTTCAGAAATAACCTCTGCTTGTATTTGGGTTGGAAGGAATTTTGTTCCCATGCGTGCGCTACTAGTGTGCTAAACGTCCTTGTACAGGTTTCTCAGGCAACATCTGGAGGCAGTCGGTTTAGGAAGTCCAAGATGTATCCTTAAGGAGCGTAGATTGTGCATTATGTAACGTGATACTCCGTATATCGTTTATATTCAAATAGTAGAGTAACATGGTCCTCATGACCCAGTGCTGAGCTTGTAACTATACCGTTATTCCGGTGTTCTTCTTTAGTGGATACAAATCCAGCATCTAAGGCTAGTTGGCAGTTCGAAATCTGGTGGGTGTTATGTGATTGTACATAGGGTGGCTAGCAATTACTTATTACCAGTAGGCTTTAAACTAAGTTCCATCGATTGCTAACGCTTTTACGTCGTGCGCCTTAAAGTTTCCAACGGCAAGTATGTTCAAATCTCACTGCAAGACGTGGTTCACTGTGAAGTCCATTTTCGAGTTGAAGTTTTGTGGGCGCTAAATCACGGCTAGTAGACATGTGTCCTTGTTTCGCAAACATAGACGGCACTAAAGCAAATCAGAAGCGCAGATTTCCGAGTGATCGATAATTTTACATTAAAGGTTTGTACTATAGCAATAATCACTCCGCCACACCTTCCAGTTTTTTTCGTTTCGATGCAGCGACATACCGGGTAAATTGATCTCAGAAGCGGTGACCGCAAGGTTTAACATGGTCTCTGTAAATGTGAAGATGTCCCGAAGTTGTGAGGCATGGAGATTTCTAAGTTCGGCCAACTTACTTAGAAGGCCTTGAGCGTATGTTTACATACAATATAGGGTTTTGTTGTTAGGAGTTCGTCGACGGATGTCAACTTTGCTTTAGTCTTTAAGCCGGCCGTTAAGTGGCGGGCCATTTATTGTTTTTGGTTTATGAATTTCAGTCAAGTGTTTGCAAGTTTTATCGAAATGCTTACAGCTCTTGGCTGTTCGCCTGCTGCCTTTAGTCGGATCTCCTTTGGCAACCTGGTTGGAAACTTTAACCAGTTATCCTACAGAGCTTGCGTCATTCCCTCGGAGTGTAATATTGCTACCATTATACTTGGACCGCGTCCCTTATAATTCGATGATGACGGAATTCTTGTCAAAGATTTGGTAACAATATTTTCAACAGAGAGTGCTTCTTGGAGTTAGCACCACAGCTCTCGGTCATGGGTTTACCCATCGTGATCAGAAGGATCCAGCACCTCGGGAACATCATAAACAAATGCTGTTTCCTTACTATCGCTATTGGGAACGTCGCATTGGTCACCTGCTGCTTTTGGGCGATCTTTAAATGTTGATCAAGTAATATACACACTCCGCTCGAAGAATTGCGAATACTAAGTGCGGAGAACAGGACAGCCTCTGTCGCATCTGCTGAGTCTAGTGTTACTGGAAGAAATCGAGGTACAGCAGGGTGCACTGAGGTCGGG